CCCATTCAATATTTGGGATATATGTAACTGAAAAATTGTGTTGCTTATCTGAAATTAAAATTTCAATTGATGTCCTATATTTTTGTTTCTCAAATCTGGCATTCCTAGTAGGGGAGACAGATTTGAAACAAAAAAAGTATACCTTATGTGTTAATTAGTGCAGTAGAGAAAATTAAATAAGATAGTAGGCATAGGAAGTCGTGGTGGGGTATCCAGGCAACCTCTGTAGTAAGGGGACATTTGAGACAAGCCTGAAGGATGTGAGAGGTATGCAAAAAGACAAATGATTTTTCCAAAACATTAATAACACTTACAGGTTGGGGCTAGGATTTTTATTTTATTTTATTGTGTCGTGAAATGCTACATTTCTATAAATTTCAAAATATGTACGTCATTTTGTACCTCCTACATTCACCCAATTTTGTGTTCATATTCATTTGCCATTAGGAAACCAGGGTAGAAAACTAAATTAAGGAAAACTAGAGAGAATAAATAGGAATGGGGAGCAGAAACCCCATTTTCTTGACACTTCCGCAAACAGTTGTATCTAGAAGTCCCTGTTGGGTGCCTCACTGTTTTCAAAGAATCTTCCTCTACCAAGTGTTACTTACCCAATTGCTGCCAAAGCCACTGAAGCCCCAAAGCCCTATAAAAGCACACCCACTCCTCACCATGGCTGCCTGCAGAAGGGGACTAAAAACCAGTCCTGCTCACCCCTCAAACCACTGAGATCCCTCCGTGCACTGTCACTGTCATGAAAAAAGTACACTTGGTGTTTCAGATAGGTGTCAGTGACCACCAACACTCCCGAGCTCCAGAGGCAGGAGAAAACCTTAAAGACTGATGCCATGTTCACAGGGCAGAGAATCTAGTCAGTGATGTTATGATAACGTTGTATGGTGACAGATAGTGGCTATGCTCCTGGTAAGAAGTTGAATCACTATGCTGTCCATCTGGAACTAACGTGACAATGTGTGTCAACTATACTCAAATTAAAAAATTAATAAAGATAAATAAACCTCAAGGAAGAGTTGAAAATTCCGGGAAAAAATAAAAAAAGACCAAAGCCATGTTCTTCTCAGTATCACTCTTTCCATCCACGGCTGGTCCATGTTCCTTGTAGTTATTCTCCTCTTCTGTTTAAATGAGTTCTCTTTGAAAATGCAGTATTTAAAAGCAGCAAAATCGGTTTTGACAAGTGAATGTAAAATTATATCATGCTAAAAATTTTAAGCTACAACTCATTGTAAATTCCCATTGCCAGAACAGAAAACAATTGCCCTCAGGCGAGTGATATTACCTCTAAATGACCTATTTCCCTTTAGCACTTAATCCTCATAAGACAACTCCATTCCTTCCAATCATTTAGTGTTCTTTCAAGTTGCCCCTGATTAGCAGTACCTGAAATAATTGAGTCTTGAGTGATGTCTTATGTTAGAGTTCTAAAGAGCATTTGGTTTGAGGGAGAGAGAGAGAGAGAAGGGAAGGAAGGAAGAAAGAAAATAGCAAGCAGGCTTTCCTAAAAGTCAGTCCAACTTATTTTTAGCTTAAATACACACATCATCATTTGTGAGTAATACACAGGGAATGCTTTAGAATTTAAAGTATAAGAGAGAAAAACCTTATCAATCTACCTGTAGTTAAGATGTTAGCTGCTGTTTTTCATTATTACTATCTTTGGAATATCCTTCAGTACTTGTGAAATGCATTCAGAAATAGATGGACAGATTCTCTTAACAAATAGGAGACCTACTCTCTACACCCAGGAAACCTAATTGTCATTTTTTGTCTGTACTTTTCTGACTTTCTTGCATATGTATATTTTTACTACATTATGTAGTGATGTCATTGTAACTTTATTTGAAGGGGACTCATAATACTTTATGCTCACACACCAGAAAATATTAATACACTACACGACATATGGTTCATTCTTCTTCAATACTTCCTTTTGATTTAGGTCTTTTTATTTCATGAAGTGCAAGAAAACTTTGCTCAAAAAAAAAGTTCTATGACCTCAATTAGATGTCCTCTTAAGTTATTTTTGTATGTATCGTTTTTTTCTGGTTCAAAATCAGCTCTTTGGGCACCGGTTCCTATCATGCCTATTTCGTCTTTATCCCATGAAACACTCAGGCCAGAGTAGAACAGGTAGAAAATTCTCACTAAATGTTAGTTGAATGAATTAATGCCTTCCAGAATCCCGTAGCTTGGACTTGGCGCTCAGGGTTATAGGAACCTCCTAATCTAAGTTTGAATATATTCTTCTTGATATAACTTATTAGAAAGGTAAAATGCTGTGAGTCACTTTCTCACTTTTCCTTCTTTCTATTTTCCCTTGGTTCATTCAGGAAATAGCTTTATTTATTTAAATAGCTTTAAAATTTTGTGAGATACCTATTGAAATTATAAACACACGAAAAAATATTTAACCTTGCAAGTAATAAATGTAGAACTGAGCAAGAGTAAACTCTCATTTGTGCTTATTAAAATTGCCCCCCAAATAATTAAAATTGTGATATCCAATGCTGATGAAGTTGTAAAAAAGTAACACAGAGTGGGGGTCCATCAAAACAGATAAAACTTGAATCCTTTTGGAAAGCAACTTAGAAATATTTACAGAGGTGGGTGTTTTAGTTTATCTTTAATAGCAAAGATTGGCAACAACCAAGTATTCAACTGTTTGGGACAGATTAAACATATGATCACGCCTGAGTTTGATAGATGTTAATCAAACTATTCACAAGACAATCATGAATACTATGTGAAAACAAATTTGTAGTATCAAATAATAAAAAATCAGAATGTCATACTATGTAATAAGCTTACAATTGCTTGAAAATATGTAAGCATAAATAAAAAAGACCAGAAGGAAACAGGACAAACTGAAAACAATTATTATAGGGGTGGAATCATAGGTGCATTTTTTGTTTCCTATTATGTTAAAAGATTATTTTAACAGTATATAAAAATTTTAAAACAGGATCAAGTTTTAGTCCCTCGGTATTCATATATTAAGGAGGATGTTAACCAGATACCTAAGCAATGTCTCTCTTCCTTGCTTCAAAATCTCAGCATGTACTTTGTTCAGTTCCAGGGGCTTAACCATTTTTTTTATTATTATTCTGGCTACCATGGTTATTCTTTGAAAGTCTAAACAAAGTTTGTATTGTTTCCTGGCAGCATCTCTTATTTACATTAAACCATGAGTTATGATATTAGTGCATCCTGTTGTGGATTCTTTGAAGAAAGCCGACTTGATAGCTCTTCTTCTGTTGCAGAGTAAATGATAGTCCTCTTTCCAGGCATATTCTATTTCTGAGTTCTTACTCTTTGTGATGTACAAATAGCCAATCAAAATTTTCCTATAATAGCCATTGCTTTTCTGTCAGCATTTTTGCCATTTATCCAAAGAAAGTGCAAGAGTTACAATTATAGTGTAACTTTATATACAAAGCAGAATTTCTTCCAGGAAGTTAAGACTTTAGCAATTATAATAGTCCAGTATAGTAGTAAAATATTTTTTGCTCTTCTAGAAGGATAATGTAAGCTTCGTATTCTTGGTTTATCTGGGAGGTAAATATAAATCATCTTTATATAAGTTATATTTAGTTCAGGTTTCCATACATTCTTGAAGGGTCATTTATAAATGAGGACTCTAAGCCAAATGATAATGAAGATAGAAATACTCCTATGTATGCTCTCCCAATTTTTAGATGCTTTCATTCATTTTGGAATGCATCATATTGTTATAAGCACAACCTCTTAAGCTAGATCATGAGAGTTGAAATCTTGGCTAGAGTTGTGTAAAACTAGAAAAGTTGCTTAACCTCTCTGTGCTTAATTTCTCCATCTCTTAACTAGAGATAAAGTGGTACTTACCTCATAGAAATTTGTGAGAATTAAGTGAATTGATGAATGTGAAGTTCCTGGCACTTAAAAATGGTACTATTATTATTAATGTACATGTTTTCGAAGCTGAGAGCACAAATATTGAAATGGCACAATCTCTGCCCTGTAGGTGACTTAGAAAACGTGCTTCAAAATCAACTAAATTTGCTGTGAACCTAAAACTGCCCTAAAAATAAAGCCTGTTTTTTTTTTAATCAACTAAGGAGCAACTTTACTCCCTCATTGGAAAGAAGAAAGCTGTCCCATCATTGGTGCACACTCTAAAGGGCTTTGGGAATGTTTTTAAATGAAAATGAAATTCTAGTTGATATGACTTTGAGCCACATGGAAGCAGCAAGAGCTTACCTATCTTACCTTTGCTGCTGGGCACTTCATGACTTCTCCTCTATGGAAAACAATTGCTGGTTCAGAGCCTAGGAAAGCTATTATACAATCTCTTCTTGCTGAGGTGGGAAACTTGTCTGACCTAGTAACCATCATCTTTCTCCTGAATGCCTATCACTCAATAGGACAATGAGAGCCACGGTTCTGAATGTCTTATTCTAATTATTTTTTACAGCGAAGTTGAGAAGAGAAACCAAAGGCATTTTTACTTTTGACTTTTGTGTCAAATGTGTCTAATTTTGTTGGTGTTCAAAGGTGTGTGTGTTCTTTAAGCTTTAGGTTTGGAAACGCTCATTTGATTAAGTCTCATAAATATAATGATTTAGTCTTTATTTTCCTGAGCTGATGAACCACTTAAAAGTTCTCCATCAAGAGAGCTTATGTTTTCAGATGTCTTTAATTCATTCCACAAACATTTATTTATTGCCTACAAGGTACCCAGCACCATGCTAGATACTCATTTCCGTCGGTAAGTTGCTTCAGCTTTCTTAATGGAGAAAAGACTGAACAAAGAAAACTAACCCTGTTTTATCCTTGGCCCCCAGCACATAGAATTTTGGACCAAATGAGCTAGTTTGTATTTACCCTAGTAGGCACTTATTTTTCTACTTCTAGAGCATTATTGGATAGCTATATCCTGTAATAATCTATATAATGTATGGATTTTGTGTATTTTATTTAATAGTATCTATTTTTTTCATGAGGGTGAGCCCGGGTTGCCTGGAACAGTAGGACAAAACGGAATACCAGGGCCAAAGGTTAGTACAAATGAAACCAAGCAGAATCATTTGAGATATGAGTTTTCATGAAATTGTAAGCTGTAACAATTTTTTATATCCCACTGGTTTTACTGGGATGGAATATTTGTCAGTAGTATAATCTGCTGCAGTATAGAAGTTTGTGACTAATGACTAAATTGTTTAAGATCCTCATTAGCATTAAAAATGCAGAAAAACAAATAAGATAACAGTTGTCAAAATTTTTATTCTGGGATACTTCAGTAACGTGAGAAAAAGCCCATATTTCAAATATGACTCTTGTCATTTTGCCACTTAATGAGTGTATTAAAATGTAGGCCTTGTCCATACTGCCTCAAATGTGCATAATATTTATAAGACTTACTAAAGATGATTTTCACAGTGCCACTGTGGCCTTTCCTCAATATTTGGTCACCTCCAACACTTACACATATAAGCAGTTAATCAAATGAAGAGCAGAATAAAGATGTGGCATGTTTTGCTTTGTTTTTTTAAGATGTTTACTTTTTTAAAGTAATCTCTACACCCAATTCACAACTGCTAGATGAAGAGTGGTACGCTCTACTGGCTGATGTGGCATGTCTAAAATTTAAAAATGGATATAGTCTGAATTACTAAATAGGGAAAACATATAACGAGGATTTTTGGGGGTTGCAAATTTTCTTTGTTTTTTTGAAGAACAAATGAATCTGTTAAATATAAAAAGATTGGTGACAGTTTAGTTTAAACCAAACAGGCAGACAAATCCCAAATCCTTTGATGAGTGAACATCCCTTGAAGTACATAACTAATGTCTAATCCCGTCAGCTGTGCGGGTGTGTATCTGTACCCACAGATGCCTGTCAGCTGATTTTACAGATCACATTGCTATTGACAGGCGCCTAGGACAGACCTAAAATTTATAGACCTGCCCTTTGTCCTGCAGGAGAGGAAAGGAAATATTCCTTCTGGGACTACAGCCATTCTCCTGTCTTTTCCCCTCTCTTGCTCCATGCTAAACAGCCAAATGATAAGAGTTAATGCTTAATGCATGTTCTCAGGTCTATTCTTCTGTTGCCTAGCAACCATCAGGATGGATGTTGAGCACTGAAAGGTGGCCAGAAATTCAGAAAGCCCAAGGGTCAGACTGAGTCCCAGCAAATGAAAAGAGTCTTGCCTCCAAACTGACTTCGAGGGGTTTTTAAATTAAAAAACACAATAATCATCTTAAGCCAATTTTTTTTAAGCAGGCTGATCTCATGGCAACACTTACTGATGCTTTTCATAAGAAGAATATTATCATAATGTGTATGATTCACTTTAGAATTCTCCCACTCCATCACCTATGCCTTCCTGGGTAAAGTGAAAATAAGGATTCTCTTCAAAGCACAGTTTGGCATTTTAGTCCTCATATGGTCCAGGTCATATGACTGGACTAGAATGGACTCTGCCCCATTCTAGTCTCTTTCCTGAAGGTACCACTGCTGCCTAAAATATACCTGATTTGGAACATGCTGGTTACCAGCAGGTTAGGGAGAATTCATGACACTCTGAAGGAGTCCAAGTTCAGGACCGTGTTTATGATCATGTTTGAAGAAGACAGATGGGAGAACTACACAGACTCCAGACCCCTGAAATGATCTATACACTGAGGGCTGCTTTGAGTAAAAGACCATGAAAGAATGTGCTAGCCCACCTTACTGCTTCTGAGTTTGGAGGAAATAAAAACTTGAAAACTAAGAAGCTGCTAAAGACATTGAACTGGTACCACATTGTTCTTAATGCCCCAAAAGCTGGATTCTGGATGATAATTTTAAATACCTTTCTTTAGTCCTTTAAAAGCAAAGAACTAAGATTACATTTGATATTGATATCCATGCCCAATTCTTCAGGAAACTCATCTTACCATTTGTTTTCAATATAGCAATTCTATGTTGCCAAAATAGAAAGTGTCGCATATAATTGACTTAGTATGTTCAATATCTGATTTTGGTAGGTGGTGTTTAATTGGGTGTTTTATAATTTAATGTGTCACTCAATCTTTGTTCTTTTGCTCAGGGAGAACCTGGAGATCAAGGCGAAAAGGTAGGAATGATTCTGCCTGTAATTATCTTTTTTTTTTTTCCCTAAAGAGGTATCAAACCAAAATATATAGAGGTATGGATGACTACATAGCAATAGATATAGATCCATAGATAGATATAACAACCACTGTTCGTGTCAAACTCTTAATTAGTAGGAGAGAATAGTGTAATTCTTATGTATGGACAGAGGTTTGGGTAAAAAGGTTTAAAGAAATGGAGGGAAAGGAAGATATTTGAACATTCTATGTCAAGCTTCTAAGTGGTTTTCAAAAATCCCTAGGTCTGCAAAACTTCTGTTTTTACCTACTTGCTATTGCCACCCCAGTGCTTTTCTAAGCATCCATATCTCTCCCTACTGCTTCTTAGGTCATGAAGTTAAAGGAATACAGATGTTTACCTGCAACAAATACATTGGAAATTGCCCCACAAAGAATTCCTATAAAAAAGCAAAAAGAGAAACAAAAGGAGGAGGAGAGTGCCATATGTTAAATTTCTCACAGATGTCCTTCCTGACTACTTTTGGGGCGTTCTGATTATTTTTAGACTCTCAGTGCATACCGTGGTGCTAATTTTTCTGGTTCTCATGCTATTTACTTTAATAATGCTTGAGAAACGTGCTGCCTGCGTAGGAAGCTACCAACACATTACACCATGCTCTTCAGAAGTGATGTGATCGTTCTGATAAATTAATATCATCACCTCTAATCCTAAAAGAAGTACATCTAAAGACCCCGCACGCTTCTTGAATGTAACTGTATTTTTCGGCACTGTGAGGCAAAAATTAAAAAGGGATTTATTTAAATGGAGGGAGAGCAAAGCAGAGGGGACGGCTCAGTCAAACCCTTCATTTCGTGACCACTCTGAGCCAGTCTTCCTAATAAGAAAGTTTGTTGTGTCTGTTTTGTTTTTTAATAAAGGGATTTCCAAGCAAACTTTTGAAAAGTATGCTAATAGGCTGCCTGTCAAAGGTTCCTCATAAGAGATTATCAGTATATTTATTTGGTGTCCAACCAGTTCCTTGTAATTAACCTGAAATTAATTAGTCATCAGATCACTCTTTTGTGTAGAAATTAAGGAGGGGAAAGGATCAGTGCCAGCACCATCCCAGGGATTCATCAGATAGAGCCGCTCCAGCTCCCAGGCTCTGTGGTGTGTCGATCACCATAGACAAACACCTGAGCAGGTTAGCTTCATATGTATGTGAAACACGAAAAGAAAATGGAGAGAAAAAATAAGTCTCTCTCCCCCACATCTCTTCCCTCTTCCAGGGAAACCATCATCAGTACTTTATCTCTTATTTAAAGGAAATTTTTAAATGATGCAAAAGTGACCTCTTATGAAGCTAAACAGAAGGGTGTTCCAGCTTATGGAATCTATGAACAATAATGCATTGTTACCGCTAATGGCTATCAGCTTATGCTGCATCAGATACTGGCCTAGTTGCTTTACACACAGCATATTGTTTATTTCTTATAACCCCGTAAAGCATTCTTGCCCTTCTGTTACACATGTGAAACGTGATGTAGGGAGCATTTCATTTGCCCAGTAGGTGCTGGAGCTGGGCTCAATCTCTCTGGCGCCAAAGTCCATGATGTTTCCACTATAACATGCTGTAAGACTTAAATGAAAGAATTCAGCTTTGAAGGAATCAAAGCATGGATAATGAGTGAATGACTTTTTTTTCCTAATGCATTGCTTTGTGGTAGAAAAGAGATGTGAGGGAATAAGCACAGGAAATCTCAAAAATAACCCAGAAAGCATAAACTCTCCAATTTCTGTTACTATAATTAAAAAAGAGAGTGTTCAAATAAAATATAAAGTTCATTTCACAAATGCAAAACACATAGGTGCAGACAAATTAATCTTCCGCCCACAGTTTTGAGGGCTGTGTCATGCACTTTGAAGCCCTGGAGATTTGATTTGAGCTGAACTTGAAGACAGAGTAGGATTTACACAGAGAGAAGGGGCGGGGGGGCAGGAGCTCAGGTGGCAGGAATGGCAGGAAGGAAGGACACGCTGGTGCTAAGGCATGCGGCATATTGAGGGAATGGTCAGGAAAAAGGCTTTCTTGAGGAGAAAAGGCATATCGTTAAGGAGACTTTACGTGCCAGAATGAGCTAGTAGAAGTCAGAGAAAGTACTGCTTTCTGTTGCTATCATAGAATAGTTTAAAACTGTTCAGCTATGTTCATTGTAATAAATTTTATTTGGACCACTTGATATCAGGCAGCTGTTCAAGTAAAAATACATTAGCTCTGTAGAACATTTGCAACAGATTTTAATATATAGTGCACATGAAAGCAAACTCAAAATAATGAAGGCTACTGTGTGTAATGTCACCGATATATGTTACTATATCTCTCCCCCCCCACCCCGTTTAGGGAGAAGCTGGAGAGAATGGCCCCAAAGGTGACACAGGCGAAAAGGTACAGTGTTGTAAAATATGAAAGAGTATGTGTATGAGCAAGAAATATTATTTCATGTATGTGAACACAGAAGATTTTGAGACAGGTAAATGAGTGGTAGTAACTTAGTGTGATAAGATGGGAAATAATTCCACAATTTTAGAGAACATTTGAATATCTAACTTATGAAGGTGATCGTTCCACAAACTCCTAGCTACAAATTTAAATATTTTATTTTTTTAATTTTTTAAAAATATATTTTTTTAATTTATTTGACAGATAGAGACATAGCGAGAGAGGGAACACAAGCAGGGAGAGTGGGGGAGGGAGAAGCAGGCTTCCGGCAGAGTAGGGAGCCCAATGTGGGGCTCGATCCCGGACCCTGAGATCATGACCTGAGCCGAAGGCAGATGCTTAATGACTGAGCCACCCAGGCGCCCCCAAATTTAAGTATTTTAAAAGTAGAATGGTATGTCACAAATTCTAGAAAATGTGTAGCTAGGTTTGCAGTAATATGGCCTTCAAAGAAGAAAACCATTTATTCATGTGTAAGTGGGGCACTCCCTTGATACTCAGAGATATAAAAATAAAGTTTCTGAAGTGATTCCATTTGTTCCGATTTGGGGAGAGAATAAGGATTGGGATGAGATTTAAAAGTTTGAAAGTAAATGTCATTTGATTAGAGACTCTAATGCAATCTTGAAAATTTGCCTTGACCTGAAATCTACTAAATCCAGATATTTTGCCAGGCTTTGTGTTGTATTTTCTTTTTTTTAATCTTTTAAATCATTATTAGCATCTATATTACAGTGGTCTTGTGGCTCATCTTTCTACCTCTTCTCAACACCCCCCTCCCCGTCTATCATTGTAGCTTCTGCTTTGGCTTCATACTTCACAGATATCTCTGGCATAAGAAGGGTATTTCACTTCACTTGTGCTGTAAAGGACTAAGAAAAAGATCTTTTAAGAAACTGAAAATAGAATAGTCAGATTTTCATGTAAATCAAGCTAAGTAATTGAGTTATCGATAAAAGATTTATTCATTTAAGCTTAGAGTTGAGGATAAAAATATTTCACTTTGAAAATTATTACAGTACAGATGGATAATGTTAGTCATAAAAGCATCCCCATAAAATAAAGAGAAATTTATCTTTCTCATTCTTATAAATATTAATATAAATATGGCATGGATGGTAGGAATGAATTAATATCACCAAGTCGCAGTTATGTTTGTATTCAAAGAGCAGTCCAGAAATTAGAGTGGACCCTCAGTCTCTTGTAGACTGGGGTTTCCCACCCTCATCATTATTGACATATTGGGCCAGATAATTCTTTGTTGTGGGGGCTGTTCGATGTTTAACATCACTCCTGGCCTGCGGCCGCTAGATTCCAATAGTTGTGACAACCAAACCTATTTCTAGACATTGCCAAATGGCCCCTGGGGCACAAAATCACTTCTAGTTGAAACCATTGTTGTAGACCCATTTTATATACCTGTCAAATTTAATTATCATGCTGCAATCAAATATGACATACATATGCTTAATACTTAATAAGACCAATGGTGTACTTCGATCACTCTCGAAGTCAGAATTTCAAACCCCAGATATATAAACTTGGATGTTATATTTAACTTTCTTGTTTATACTTAAAACCAGAGGTCAGCAAACTTCCTATTAAGGGCCAGAAAATAAATATCTTAGGTTTTCTGGGCCTTGTGGTCTCTGTCACCACTACTCAACTCTGTTCTTACAGTGTGACAGCAACCATAAACAGTATGTCCAGAAATGAGTATGACTATGTTCCAATAAAAGTTGATTTCTGGGCACTGAAATTTTAATTTCATGAAATTTTCACATGTCATGAAATATTATTGTTCTTTGATTTTTTTTTTTTTTTTTTTTAGCCATGTAAAAATGTAAAAACCATTCCTAGCACATGGGCCACACAAAAGCAGGTGCTAGCTGGAGTTGGCCCACGGGCCTTAGCTGCCAGTCTCTGCTTAAAGAAAGGAAATCTTCTAAACAGAGGGCGTTTTTTTCAAGTGAAAAAAGCTTATGCCAAGTCTGAACTACACCTATGTGGATTCCTGTAGAGAATTTTATGCTTTAGAAGATGTATTTTTAAAGCTTCATTTTTGGAATGTAGGCCAATAATTGTTTCTTTAATGACACATTTTAAGTTTCAATTTTCCAGTAGTAAAGCAACTTTTTTTCTTTGCAAATCATTTACCATACCGACTCACATAGAGTAAACTCTCAATAAATGTTAGCTTTCTTACCACATGGAAATTGAAATCAACTAGATGGGCTGTTTTCTTTTTTATCAAACATTTTATTAGTCAACTGAAATTAAGTACAAGAAATGCTTCAGTTAAAAGGGAAATCATTTCTATAAACTTTCAATGGGCCTAAAAGGGAATTGTAAATAAGAATCTGTAATGTATAATATGTAATCTGACCTGTAGCATTCATCCCGGGAATGCTGTAATTGGAATATAATTTTTGATGCGTTTTTTAAAACATTTCCTGCTTCTGTCATATAATTTGTTTCCAGTATGTTGGAAACACTCTTCTCACGGCCTTTGGGTTCAGTATGTGAAACTCATTCATCATTTACCAAGTTTGAGATGTAAAATCAAAAAATTCTTCTTTTTTCTGCCATTGAAGTAGTAAATTACGTCATTGACTGATTCACTTTAATAGGATTTTTTTTTCCTTTTGATCCAACTCTGTGCCTTTGGATGGTAAAGCAATCTAAACCTTTCCAGACTGGTCATCTGGAAATGCTGTGGAGCTGTAAAAACCATGAGGCTGGGTTTTGTCCCTGCCAGCAACTGCAGTATACTCTAGGCTTGAGAGTCACACACCAAAGAACGATTTCAATCATGTGTGGAGTTACTACGCAAAGGTCATGTTCTGCTCTTCGGAGCGTAATCCCACCAACAAATGTAGAAATGGCTTTGTTATCTCTTTCGAGCAACTTGAAAGTAGGTGTTTGTGCGGCAAGCTGAATGGTTTGATCGTGCCCATCTGTTATTCACAATTCAGTCTGCTGATTCGGAAGCTCCACCTTCGCGGTCTTGGGACAACCCGACAGGTGCCTTCACTTTCTCTGGTCCCTCAGTCTCCACTCCCGGAAAAACACTGCCTTCTTGGTTTATGCCTACATAGCATCTTTGATTTGCATCCTCTGAGCCTTTGCAGAAGCCGCACCCATATTTGGAGCAACCATCAAATTGTCTGTTCTTAAAATCACATGTGAAGGTCTATCTCCGCGGGCCCACACCCCCCGGTCAGTGCGGGGCCCTCTCTAACTCGGCACGTGTGGTTGCCTCGGCTTCGAACACTCCTACTGTCTGTCCACTCCCACCTCCACCATCAATTCTTCAGTCCCCTGAGACCTTAATTTGTAGGTCATTTCCCTGGGGCAGCCTTTCAGTCTCCTTCAGATTGGTTAGGTTACCTACTCTGTGCTCCCACAACACTCTTTAAAATCCCTTTCTTTTCTTTTTTTTTTTTTTACTTTTTTTTTTATTCTTATGTTAATCCCCATACATTACATCATTAGTTTTAGATGAAGTGTTCCATGATTCATTGTTTGTGCACAACACCCAGTGCTCCATGCAGAACGTGCCCTCTTTAATACCCACCACCAGGCTAACCCATCCTCCCACCTCCCTCCCCTCTAGAACCCTGTTTGTTTTTCAGAGTCCATCGTCTCTCATGGTTCGTCCAGCCCTCCGATTTCCCCCGCCTCATTCTTCCCCTCCCGCTACCTTCTTCTTCTTCTTCTTCTTCTTTTTTTTTTTTCTTAACATATATTGCATTATTTGTTTCAGAGGTACAGATCTGAGATTCAACAGTCCTGCACAATTCACAGTGCTTACCAAAGCACACACCCTCCCCAGTGTCCATCACCCAGCCACCCCATCCCTCCCACCCCACCCCCCACTCCAACAACCCTCAGTTTGATTCCTGCGATAAAATCCCTTTCTTAACTGTTATCAGGGTTTATTGTCATTCCTTGTTTAACTGGACATCCATCTAGCTCATTGGGAAAGAAAAAAACACATAAATAAACAAAAAACCTCTATGATGCCAAACTACTCCCAGCACCAATCCAAGGTCCTGGCACATACTTGTGAGATAATCAATATTTATTGAATAAAAAGTTTGTTTTCCTTTCAACTGCTTTTTATTTTCATGGAATGGTAGAACTTTTTCCTGTGACATGCATTTGTTTATCATGTCTTCTGCTATATACAGAAATAACAGTATTTCCCAAACATGAGAATCTTCCTATTTTTCTTTAAAAAAAATGGAAAGAAAGGAAGAAGAAGAAAGTATTTTTCATGCTTTCAATCAATAACATTTTTGTGTGTGTGTATTAGTATGTGACTGTCATGAGCACAGGCCAAGGGCGGGGACTGTAAGTGCATTGCTCCCTGTTCTCACCCACCTCCCCGCATCCCTGCAAACAGAACACGGCTGGCTCATAATCAGTGCTCAACAAACAACTTATCGAATGAATTAATGAATGATAAAAATGTCACCACATTCACTTCATTTATCTGCTTAGACTTTATTAATACATACATAACATTATATACTAACTATTGTGTTTGAAAATAATCACGACCAAAAACAGAAACTCTCTGTGTTTGAATGATCAAAAGTCTAATTCATTTATCTCGAGTGTCTTCTCAAAGGATTTTCCCATTTGTGACTCGCCCTGTGGAAACGTGTTTCTAGACCAGCCAACTTATGAAGCAAAGAGTGTACTTAAGACATGGTTGGGTTTTTCTGACTTTAATCCTGTATTCACTTTCACTTTTGGAGGAATGAGGATTATAACACTGACTGTTTTATTTCCACTACTTGCAGGACTATCCTTTAAAATGTTTAACTTATGACTGTCTTTCAGCAGTTGTCTTGCCACTTAAAAGTTATAAAAATTCCTCGAGATTTCACAGTCTAAGTTTTTAAAAAGAGAATTAAAATATCACTCACAGTCCCCTCAAATGAAACTGCTCCAATTTCCACAAATAAATCAGCCTTTCAGGAAACTGTCTTTTTCTCTCCATCCACTTTCTATGAGAACTAAATCTAGTCCTTAGTCTCATTGGTAGATTACCCAGCCACTTTCCATTAGGACACTAAAAATAAAAGGTTTTAAACTGCAGTTAATACAAGCGACTTCCTTTTATTTACAAGTTTACTGCAACTTTTAAGCCCTGTTGTCAAAATGAAAAAAACCAATAATTCTTATTCTAATAAAAAGAACATGGCAATGGAACTTAGGAAGTTCAAAATTCACTTATCCTCTAGTTCCTTCAGTTTCCTTATGAAAATAGTAATATCTGCCCTATCTCATCAGAGTTTTATGGGGTATAAATGAGATGAGAGAAGGGAGTTAGCAAAGTCAAAATTGCTTTTAGGAATACAAAGGTGTTATTGTGCAAAATATTGCAAACCTGATTCATTGGTGTTGATAGCTTTCAGATTTGATTTAGTAGAAATAAGTATTATTTTATTAGCCACATCTATTTCACTCCCCATTTGGAACTCAGTTGAATGTAAATGATCAGAAAGAGAAGTCAGTATAAGACAGTATTTAGGGCCCTTATATTTTGTCATGTTTTAATTTTTCCTTGGGTAATAACAATTACAGACATCAAAGAAGCTCACATATGTATCAGTTTCTTCAGTAAGTTAATTTATGATTTCCTTCTCCTTCCTAAGCTTTTCCCTCCTAATTTTTTTTTTTCATTTTGATCCTTGACTCCTGACTTGTTTAAAACATTCTTTTTGAGATTTGTTCATTCACTTGCCATAAAGGTACTGAGCATCTCCTATGGGCTAAGCACTGAATAAAAGTAGACACTGAATATGCCCCCATGTGGCTGATTGTCTGATGAAGGGACAGACAATGAATGGGCAGAAAATATAAATACGTAATTATGAAGTGAGCTATGCAGGACATGAACAGAGCTCAATGCTGTGCAGTAGGATATTGTATGTGAGGGGTATGTGTCTGAAGTTGGTTGGTGAAGTGTTCTTTGAGGCAAAACCACGTAAGCTGAGACCTCAAGAAAGAGAAGGTGCCAGCCTGGAGAAGAGGTGGGAAGAATTGGGCGAGGGGGACCAGTGCTCCATGGACAGAGGCCTGAGGCCTCATCTGTGTCTCTAAAAGAGAGTAATGAGCAGCTTCCTAAATCCAGAACAAGGAACCAGATCCCTGGAGTTCCTTGAACACTTGCATGGATATGACAGCTGAAGAAATTCCATTGTGTACCTTCCTCCTGTGGCAGTTCCTATTTTCTCGACAGTCTCAAATGGCTGTTTTCTCCCTCTTTTTTTTGCTTGTAGCATGTTCATGGGACAGGGGGGTTAGAAGGAATTTGAAAACCAAGGCACTTTTGTTGGCCTCATTTTAGAAATAGATGGACATTAAGGAGGGCACGTGATGTAATGAGCACTGGGTGTTATATGCAACTGATGAATCATTGAACACTACATCAGAAACTAATAATGTACTATATGTTGGCTAATTGAATTTATTTTTTATTATTATTTTTTATTATGTTATGCTAATCACCATACATTACATCATTAGTTTATTTTTTATTTTTTTATTCTTATGTTAATCCCCATACATTACATCATTAGTTTTTGATGGAGTGTTCCATGATTCATTGTTTGCGTATAACACCCAGTGTTCCATTCAATACGTGCCCTCTTTAATACCCATCACCAGGCTAACCCATCCCCCCTCCCCCACCCCTCTAGAACCTTCAGTTTGTTTCTCAGAGTCCATAGTCTCTCATGGGTAAAAAAAGAAAGAAGCAACATTCTTAACTAACCTCCATATTCTTTTCCACGAATCCCTCTCTGCTGATTTTATAAGCATATTTGCTTTGGGAATGTAGTCACCCTCTGTGGTATCCCGATGGAGTACAGTACCTTTTAGGAAAGCAGATTCTACCTCAAGATTTTCTCTCAGGTCTTACATATGTCCCTGTCACCCAGGAGTCATCCATCATCCTGTAATTTTCCGGTGACTGTGTCACAATGAAATAAGTGTAAAGCTAGAGAAAATGTGCTGGTCATAACTGTGACAGTGCCTCGTGAGTTAAACAAACCGACCTGCTACGTGGCTTTTTCCAACTCGACATCATTAACCCTTTGACTTTATCTCTTGAACCCTGACTTTCTGAAGACTGAGAGGGTCAAGGAACTCCCAGTAACTGAGAGCCCGTGACATTCATACATTCCAGGAATAGAGAAAACCAAAATCCCAGATCTCAAAATTATAATTTATTACTTTAGAATACACTTTTAGCACTGTATCAAGGGAAGAGATACATATTTATATGTTTCTATTGACCTCAAGGAATATAGCCCTTAAGTATTTTGCATTCAAAATAAACCCATGTTTTTAGAAAGTGCATTGTTTAGCTTGGAAATTGTTGACATCTTAATAGATGCCATGTTGGAATGGTCTTATGGAGCGTAGTCAGGCCTGTTAGTCATGGGGCTCCTTTGAGTGCCATGTTGATAATGGCTGTCTGTGTGCTTGTGTGTTTCCTATTCTCATAACTTGTGGACTAATCTCTCATGCGTTTTGTTTTAGGGTGACCCTGGATCATCTGCTGCAGGAATTAAGGTAACTATCACCTTGCGAGTGCTTGTACCCCAGGAGTTACAGTTTTGAATTTTATAAACCTCTACTTTCTCTTCTTTTGTACCAGTTTTGATGGTTATAACTGTTTTTATTCTTCTGCAATAATCAGCTCCCAAACTCAACAGAGAGTATCTGCTGGAAATCTGATAAAGGCTTAAATAAGAGGTCTTGCCTTCACTTTCTCTGCAGTTGGTTTTTATGGAAATAGGGATTTGTATGTGAGCTTTAGGTATGTTCACAGCAAAAAAAATTTCCTGTCTCTGGTGAGATATAGAGTAATAGAATAAAGTGAATGAAATGCATGTGATCAAGAAGGCTAGGCCATCTCTGTGAAAGTGTCCAGAGGCCTAAAGGTTTTGGAAAATTCTTGTAAGATTGTTTTTATCATCTTTGGTTTTCTTTTGGCCAGGGGGAACCTGGAGAATCTGGTCGTCCAGGGCAAAAGGTAATACCTCTCTTCTAGTGTTCTTTGTACTGCCTCGTATTTGCCATTTTATACCTACTATCCACTGTGTGATATGAAAACCATGATTGGAAAATGATGTAGTTTTCATGCTTTGCATGCGGAGTGTTATTGATTGTTTTGCATTTTAAAAGGGTTGATGCTGACCATGGCAAAATAGGAAATGCCCTGTACATGTGAAAAAGATGCTTTATAAACTAAGGTCTGCATATACTCAGCTGTCTGAGGCTAACAAAGATCGTCGGGTTGGAATGCCAACAACTTATCTTGCATGTTTAAAGTTACTCTGCATGTTTCTATCATTCATGAGAAGAAATGAATATTTACTAAACTGTTTCAGTTGGGAATGATAGCTTCTTATATTCCTTATATTCCTTTTTCTTTCATTTCAAATACTTCCCTACTGATAATTTTTTTGTGTGAATTGTATCTACCTCTGCAGTGATGTTATGTTATACAAACCAGATTTGTTAATAAACGAAGTTTTAATTGGAGACACTAGCCAAGCACTTTAACCAATCTGTGAATACATACATGGATTTCTTTTAATCATTTATACTTCACTTCAGTGATAAATTAGAGGATATGCAGTGATAATGTTTAGATTCATATTCTCATTTGAGTCTGAGGCAGGAAACAACTGTTAGCAGTTTATTGTCTGAGCATCTGGATATCAGTGCCCAGTGCTGTCAGATTTTAGGTGACGGATGTGTTGGAGCTAACGAGTAAATGTGAATTCCACATTAGGTTAAATCTCTTAAGATCATGACTCTCCCTTTATCCAGCAATAGCTGATTTTGTAGGAAAAAATATGATTGGAGACATAGAATTTACCTCATTAGTGTAAATGAAAAGAAAGAATAAATCTCATTATAGGAGTTTGGAATCCTAAGGCCTGGTAAAATAATGTTTCCACACTCTTGAAGTCATTGGGAGGATGATTGCTTTGTTTTAAACACTTAGGATTAAAGTAATTTTTGAGCAGGTCTTTCATGTTCTTTTAAAATTCCTTTAATTTAAAAATAGAGTTTTCTTTTGAAACTCGGGCTGTAAGAGTAATGATTCATCACGCCCAGTTTCAGGCAAAGTTCAGACTTTTCCAAAGACCCCAGCAGAATTCTGCAAATTTTGCTACTTAATGCCTAAGATTTCCTATTGATTCTTTATGTAAGAAATTTGAAATCAGCGGTATCATCAGAGATCCGTGGTCTGCTTTGGTTTGAAAAAGCAAATAATCTTCTCAGATGATCTAATTTTAGGCCCCTTCATCTTTAAAAATTAAAGGCTAAATTTAAACTGCTCTCAAAATATGTGATATACTAAAAGAAATATCTGCAGGACGATTATGCCTTTTTAACAAAACAAAACAAAACAAATCTGCTATAATTTTGCAGAGGTTCCACTTCTCAGAGTGGAAGATCCAAAATGATTTTCAATTGCTTAATAAAATATTCCCTTATCATGATTATTTAGCAATACAGTTTAGATTCATTCCTGGAAGTTTATAGGTTTACATATGGAAACACTGGATTTCCTTTGTATTTCATTAAAAATCTGCTTTAGATTATATGGAGAGAAGGGGTGGATTCATTAAAAGCTCACAACCTATCTGAATGAGTACGTGCCCTGAAACGAACAGCATCTTTTTCATCAGTATTTAGGCCAGATTCTATCCTTTGACGCAATCTCACTTGCCCACAATATTTATGACTTCCTTTGTCTAATATCAGGATTTGGCAATACTTACCCCAACATTGCTTTAAAAGTAGAGTATTCCCATGCTTGCCGCTTACTTAAGATTAGAAAATGACAAGCAGAACTGAGTACAGAATCAATTCAAGAGATCTTCCATGGCATTTTCCTCATCATTGAAGAACTGTGTTGTGGATTCTATATTTAAGCTCCTGCGTGAGGGACATTCCAGAAATGTAGAGTATCGTGACAGAATGAAAAGCCCATTGATGAGCTTTCCACTCTCTGGTGTTGTCCAATAATGTAGAATGATTTTATCATCATTTTTTTTTCTTTGATAGATTCAGCAGTAAAGTGTGTGATTGCTACATGAGTTAGAGTCTGTATTTATGTTTGTAAACTGAATGTGTAGATTTATAAAAATAGGTATTGTGTTTCATCACATAGTTCTTTCTAACTTCTCTGCATCTTTTTTAAATATATTTTTTAATTTTCATGGGGATAAAAATACTTGATCCCCCTCTGGAAGGGACCCTCCCAGTTGAAGTATATCCAAAAGTACTGGGGGCAAAAGCAGAATCCCAACTTTGACAGTGGACAAGGGTCTCCTTTAATGGAGGGTAAAGAGTCAAGGGAAAGGAAAAGTATAATGTGTAAAGTTTAATCTACTTGGACAAGTATTCTTTGAACGGAAGAACAAACCCATTCTTAATTATAACCCAGATCTGACCTTGGGCCATGCATGCCCAAGGACTCAACCCAGAGAAGCTCCTGGGCCAAGAAATAAGCAAGAGTGGAGAAGTCAACAAAAACTGTGTCTCACTGGAAGACAAGCCTTCATGGTGTAAATACAGGGAATTTATATAGGAAGAAAAGTCTTCCTAAGAATGTTGAGATGTTCCACAAAGGGTAACATTAAATATTTTATAATCTTTCATTGCATTGACTACTACATTAAGTAAACATAAATTTGGAAAGTTCAAATTCCTTTCTGAAATAGTTTTCCTTTAAAAAGTCCATTTAATAATGTAATATAAATACATACCTACATACATACACATGTAATACAAGGAACAGCTAAATGCTAAAGTCTCTGTAAGTATTCAACCTACATTGTAAAATATCCCATAATGTTTCATACATATTTCTCATTTTCTCATTATCAGGAAACACGGGCGTGTGTCTGTGTATGCATGTGTATATAAATATCTTTTTTAAAGTAGTCATACAATCCTTTTAATATGGTGGGAGGGAAGTGTATGGTGAGAACTTCTGCAGGGAAACAGTGTTATGACCGCTGTATTTTCACACGTTTCAAACTCAGGATGCCCTGAGTTTCGGGGGCCTTTCCGAAAACAATACAAAACTATAGATTTGTCACCAATAGGTTTACTTTTATTTGTTGTGTATTCTACTGCAGTTTACTGTTTATTCGAAGGCCTTGTACTTTTTTTTTGTCTTTAATAGTATTACTTTCATATCATGAAGAGCCATAATTTGCTCTGGTATTATCATTACTTTTAAGTAAAAGAGAATCTTCAGTAAAATATGGATGCAGCCCTTCTACTGGATCTTCTTAAATTTATCAAATGAAGGGCAAAGGGGAAAGAAAAATAAAATAGAATGTATAATGTATAATGTTTCTTTGGGAAGTTTAATCCACTTGGACAAGTATTCTTTGAATGCAATCTCAAATTCTTAATGATCATTCTTTCTTCTCTGGCATAACCTCATCTTAGTCTTACTGTTCACTGTACAAAATTTGAGTTATATAGTTTCAAACAGCGTAGGTTTCCTTTTGCATTCCTGAAGTACCCGTGACCTAAACCATCAGGAAACTCATTGTTCCCTTTATATCTAACCATACAGCTTAATAAACAGTCTCTAGAGTCATTTTTTGATAATACCAGAGCAAATTATGGCTCTTCATGATATGAAAGTAATACTATTAAAGACAAGATATCTGATTGTAGGTTTTCCTTGGAATGAGGATTATTAAAGCATTTAGATGAAGTGTCTCCCTTTACCACTTTTATTTAGTTTAATGCCCTAGTCTCTTTTAGTGTAGTTGTCTGTCCCACTGACTGACCATTTTGAAACAGTGTGTGCCTTTGACCCTCAAATGTTGTTTCCACAAATAATAGTCACCTCAGTCCAATATAGGATGGACTTTCATTTTCCCCGGCGATTCCTTTATGCTTCTTTAGTGGAATTCAGGAGATTTTCTAAGCAATGTAACCTCTTGTCACTATACTTTGTCCTTAAAATAATGTAGACAATTCTGTGAAAATGAGATTTAGCTTGACTCCAGTGTGCTCACACAAAATGTACCACTTAATCTCAAACCTGTATTCAGAAACAGCTGCACGCATGGTACCATTAGCCCTAAATTGCTAAGCAGGGTGACCCAGACTCAACAATTGTCAGAAATACAGGCTGGAGTTAAGTATAATCTTAACCATGCATTTATCTTCTCATCATTCAGGAATGGAAAAGAAATCTTACTATACTTTTAAGTGAGCAAGACTTTTAATGTATATTGTTTTGATGTGACCATCTGTTCACACAGCCAACTCTTGATTATCTGAGGTAAGAGAGCCTGGGAATAGGATGCATTATTCAAATGCATACATAATCCTCATTTCAGCAAAGAGCTTCAGCTTCCGCAAGAAATCACTTACCAGGAAATAATAAAAAGTAGGAGTTCCTTTTCCTTTTACTTCTCTTGCTTGCCTTCTGGTCGAGTTGCTAATGAGCAGTGAGATGGCAGGAAGAGAGAAAACCCTGAAAAATCTGCAAAATGGTCAACCAATCCCTGAATCAAGAGTTGACTGAATTGTATAATCTCACCAAAGTTCTTAAAACTAGACAGTATTTATATATGTGTGTGTATATATATATGTATATGTATATATGTGTATATATATGTATATATACATATACATATATATATAGCAAGTATTCAGTTAGGAACATTTGCCATGTTTTTCTCCAGATACTATGACTGAGTGACTATTGTTCTATAATGCTATGTGATTTTCCTATGTAGGGTGAACCAGGGCTTCCTGGGCTTCCTGGACTTCCGGGGATAAAGGTAAATACTGCACTGACAGTCTCAGCTTCGTAGAACTGTAATTGTGAAAGTCACAGAAATCAAAGGAAAATAGGTAAAAATGAAAACTAAAAATATAATGCTACTCTTTAAATACTCTCCAACCATCTCAGTCAATTAAATTTTTTAAATCGAGGGGCGCCTGGGTGGCTCAGTCGGTTGGGCATCCGACTCTTGATCTCAGCTCAGGTCTTGATCTCAGGGTCATGGGTTTGAGGCCCGCATTGGCATTTTTAAATTGAAAACTAGGCACAGGTATTGCTGACGTTTGCCATTGCTATCTGGACTGTATATTCTACTATTAGAACCTACTATGCCACTTGAAAAAATGTAAGTGCCACATAGGAATTCTTTAAAGTCTAGAATGTCCACTTTCACGTTTTAATTTTATTCTTAACATCCTGTCAGATTCCGACTGGAATCAGAGTCTTAACATCCCCATAAATCGAACTATTTAGGCAGCTGTTTTTGCAATTCATTCGTTGTAACAATCGCTCTAAAGTATCTTCTGCTTCCACTTCCTGTCAGTAACTCTCACTGCAAAGGACAAATCAGATGACTATTCTGACCCATATACTATTTCCATAAACTTTGTGTGTATCTTTTGAAATAATTACTTAAAGCTTAGTTTGAAAACATTGTTTTACATGTTTTAAAACCATCTAAAAATGTCAAGAAACATACATTTTTTTTTAATTGCTGAAAATTTTTCACATGGCAACTGACAAGGCTTAAAGTTCTACTGCCTTAGCAGTGTTGACTCCTTTAAAATCTGCTTTCTAAAGCTTAAAAGCTTTAAAGTGGTTTTTTTTTTTAATTCTAGAACAGTTTGATAGAGTAACATAACGCCAGTATATTTTTCCTTACATTGTTCTCATAGATTTTGAATCAATCTTTAGTGTGCATTAGACCATTCTAAAATGAATAATCCTAGTTTCAGTGTGAGGGTTATGTATACTGTTAGATGAAGGTTGTGTTTGAAGTATGGTACATGAAATAATATGGCTTTAGAAATAAACATGTTAAATTATTGAGTTCCCCAGACATCGTACGGTATTATATACGTATATTATATATACGGTCATAAAATATATGACTTTATTTGGTATAAGTAACAGACATGAAAACTGTGTTTTTCAGTCTGGCAGTCAGAAATTTCTGCTTTTTGTTTGATGTTTCCAGATTAGTATCATGGACATTCAGATATGTCCTTTTAATATATTTTGTCTTTGGCTTCCACAGTGAAAAAGTACACTGTATGACAAAGCATACTAAAGGGCCAAGTCTTTTCCTTATCACTTGATATTTAGCAAAATAATTAAATATGTGATTTCATATTGTAGAGTTAATTTATGGCAGTTCCTTAGTAATTCCCACACATTAAAAAAAGAGCCTTTTACAAATGATTGGGAGATCATAGATGTTTAAAACAAATTTAAGAAAATTATACTCAACATGAGTTAAAAAGAACACTGTTGCATTATAAATAAGGGGGAAGGCATTGGAAAGGAGGGACATTTGGGAAGGGCTGGGGGAGGGTTTCCTGCAGCACTTACTCCTAAGTTAGCAGGGCTGTACTTCCAATGCCCGGCTTAGTGCGCCAGGAACCTCAGCGCTTCATTGAAATGCGCTTGTCCCTTCTCCTGAGTATGATGCACTGTCTTGGTGAGAAAGATTATGTAAGGTTACGGTGAAGGTGTTGGGGTTTTTCCCTCCGAAACAAACAAAACCCAATTTGAATTACTCTATTTGTTTTCATTACCTCTTATTCATTTTATGTCTCCCACCACGAAAAATATCCCATGGCCTTTCCCTAGTCATATGTGACCTTTTGAACTTTATGACCTATTTTGAACTTTTTCAAATTGGGAAGAGTGTTGGTGATTTGTCACCTCCAGTAAACGCTTTTATTCCAAGGGTCCTAGGACATTGCCAGATGTATTTTGTCAAGGTCATATAGCTGATATTTTCCTTTGTTTTTTAAACCTTGACTGTGATTGTTGTGATAAGAAGCTAGCAATTGACAAAACCTTTTATCTTTCACTAGAGATCCTTTTCTGTGCAATTAGCAAGTGCTGTTGGGGAATTACCCAGTATTTGATTTAAATCACAGATTCTGTTTTTGGTTTAATTAGCTTTGTTGTCTCACTCTAGTTCAGGATATGAGCAATGTTCTTTATAATGTAGTAGGTGCTCAGAATACAGAAGTCATCTTGTGAAGGAGACTATTTCAGAACACATAGTCATTAGCAGGCATTGGATATTTATAAATGTGGAGTTACAAGTTTATAGCCTTAAGATATAGCTTCATTAACTTGAGCTGTTCTTTATTCCTTCAATATACCTTGCTTCTACTCAGTTGCTAGCCACAGGATAGTTAATCGTGATTTCATAGTTTGAATGAGTAACAATATTTAAAAGATGAAACCACATGTATGGATTTAGAACGTGTGGTAGCAAGAACTTGTGTGATAGTTCATGCTTTGGAAATACTTCCTGTTGCTATTCATCCCCTTCTTATCTGCTGGTACTACAGAGAGCATGCAAATGCCATCCGTTATTTTACAAGACATTGAGGAAACCAGCCATGACATACCAGCGAAGCTTTGATTCACCACCTGTTGCTCTCAGGGAATGGTGGGGAACTTAATGAGCACCCAAATGCCTTCCACATAGCTCTTAGGAAATGAGCAAAGTACCTAAATACAGACAGCAGACTCATCTATCTATCACCTCAGAGTCCCACTCAGAGAAAAGTGCTGATACCTTGGGCATACATAAAAAAAGTCACCAAGAACAGGCATACCTTAATTTCAAACTACTCTTAAGCTTCCTGCACAAGTATTGGAAAGTTCTCTCACCATGTGGAAGACATTTGGAATTCCTGTTTCATGCATTCATGGTTCATATAGTGTCAAGATGTTCAGCTGGGAAAATTAAATTATGCACAATGTACCATGTAGACATTGATCTTCTGGAATAAGATTTGAGCTCAGAAAATGATTTTTATAAACAAGCCTTCATATATGTTTTTCATGGGTAAAACTTACTGTAACTAGCTTTTCTGATATCACATAAAAGGGTAAGATCTGAAGTTCCTATTTAAAAAAATTTTTTCTCTCCACACTTATTTTGAAATATGTAAATATGTTACTTACCCCTTTTATGATTATATTACCCTAGTAATGAAGCAGTATAGAGCAGTGATCAAGAGACCTGACTTTAGAACCAGACCACCAATGTGTGGGTACTGGTTCAACCCCTCACCAGTAATGAAGCTGTATCATGACATTGGGCAAGTTACAATAATCTCCCTGTCCTCTGGTTTCCTTATAAAATGAGAATCATCACTGTACATAACTCAGAGAGTTGTGTATATTAAGTGAATTAATATATGTGCGGCTCCTAAAATATTGCCAAGCATATAGTAAATCCTATATAAATTTTAACTATTACTCTTTCTTTCTCTTAGAGCAGCTCAGAATATTGCATTGGTTATGTACATGTTCAATATAGTCTTTCCTCATGTGAGTAATTTTAACCTGGAGAACGTAAAGCCATTTACATTCTATAGGTTAATAGAGGTAAATTCTGAAAACTCCTTTGCTGTGATAGATGAATATTACCTTTAAGAGCAGTAAGAAACCTACTTTCTCTTGAACATCACACGATCCCCTTTTCCTATAACTCAAATATATTCCAGGAACAAAGGATGAAGGAACCATCTGTGCATAAGACATGGTACTGTCAAAATTCTCCTTCCTACACTGTTCACAAGAGAAACTGAACATGTAATGAGGAAAATTTTCTAGGCCCCAGTCATAGTGTTACCTGGACCAAGACATTTTTTACAAATATGGATTTTCAAAGCGTGCTTTTCTCCTTTCAACAGAGACCAGCAGTTTATCTCATCATATTCAGAAAGTAGATTGGAAAAAATTTATATAACACAGTAAAATTAATAGCATAGGGAAACATAATACAGTAAAAATTACATCAAATGAAAAAAAGCTTTTAGGTGGCAAAAAAAATTTTTAAGTATTTTCCCTCAAACTTGATAGATTTCTTCTGGCTTCCACATTAGTGAAAATTTGACATTCAGATTAAGAATTTGAGGATTGGGAGGGTATGAGACAGTAATTGGTTCTTTATACCTCATTATATGAAATCATCATTGCCACCAAATCATATAAAGGCTAAGCTTTACAGGTGGCAGGAACATTTATGTTGGCATTCTTAGGATTAATTACAGTGTTTAATAATCTAATAGAAATTTACCATCTAAATCCATTGGAGATGAGGTTCCTTCCTCAGAAACATCAAGTCACATTTTAAAAGTGAGAGGGGAAAGTTTTTGGAAGTAACATAGGATGTGAAATGTATTCCTAAAAGAAAAAAAGAAAAGGAAGAAATACTGGTTAAAAGGATAAGATTGTGTTATTGTTACTTATAATTATTTCCTTCCTGCACAGAGTGTGTCTGAGCAGCTGAGTAGTTTAAGAATACAATTAGGAAACTCATGCAACCAGAAATCAGAGATTTTCTAGCAGCCATAATGAAACCTCCAATAAATATACTGAATGTGTTTTCATGATGTAATCCTGTTAAGAAAAAAAAAAAAGCAGAAAGGTATGTTTCTGAGTTTTAAATAAATCTACTATTGCAGTTCATTTTCATCATATCACCAAGATGTTTTAATTTATACTCAAATTTTATCCTTAAGGGAAATACTGTTTTGGGGACAGACTCTACTTTCTCATTCTTTTTTTTTTTCCCCTCAATAATTTTACAAATCAATCATTACAAAAACTAGCTGCCTGGACGTTCTTATTACAACAAATGTTCTTGCTGTAATCCTCAGAAGCAGGTATCATGCTGACTTGAATTCTAATTAGCCTTTAAGCAAGGAGAATATTGTATGGCTAATGCATTCAGTGTCAAGACACATTAATCAAAATTATTGGTGATGCTTTAGCACCCAG